AAGACCTATATAGAGGAATCGGGACCTCCTTCCGGTGACCCCGCTAGTGATATAAAGATCTATATAGATGAATCAGGACCTCCTTCCTCCTGCCGGTGACCCCTCTAGTGATAGATCTATATAGAGGAATCGGGACCTCTTCCTCCTGCCAGTGATCCCTCTAGTGATATAAAGATCTATAAATAGGAATCAGGACCTCCTTCCTCCTGCCGGTGACCACTCTAGTGATAGGATTTATATAGGGGAATCAGGACCTCCTTTCCTCCTGTCGGTGACTCCTCTAGTGATAGATCTATATAGAGGAATCAGGACCTCCTTTCTCCTGCTGGTGACCCCTCTAGTGATATAAAGATCTATATAGAGGAATCAGGATCTCCTTCCTCCTGCTGGTGACCCCTCTAGTGATATAAAGATCTATATAGAGGAATCAGGACCTCCTTCCTCCTGCCGGTGACCCTTCTAGTGATATAAAGATCTATATAGAGGAATCAGGATCTCCTGCCGGTGACCCCTCTAGTGATATAAAGATCTATATAGAGGAATCAGGATCTCCTTCCTCCTGCTGGTGACCCCTCTAGTGATATAAAGATCTATATAGAGGAATCAGGACCTCCTTCCTCCTGCCGGTGACCCCTCTAGTGATATAAAGATCTATATAGAGGAATCAGGATCTCCTGCCGGTGACCCCTCTAGTGATATAAAGATCTATATAGAGGAATCAGGACCTCCTTCCTCCTGCCGTGATATAAAGATCTATATAGAGGAATCAGGACCTCCTTCCTCCTGCCGGTGACCCCTCTAGTGATATAAAGATCTATATAGAGGAATCAGGACCTCCTTCCTCCTGCCGGTGACCCCTCTAGTGATAGATCTATATAGAGGAATCAGGACCTCCTTCCTCCTGCCGGTGACCCCTCTAGTGATAGATCTATATAGAGGAATCGGGACCTCCTTCCTCCTGCCAGTGATCCCTCTAGTGATAGGATCTATATAGAGGAATCAGGATCTCCTGCCGGTGACCCCTCTAGTGATATAAAGATCTATATAGAGGAATCAGGATCTCCTTCCTCCTGCTGGTGACCCCTCTAGTGATATAAAGATCTATATAGAAGAATCAGGACCTCCTTCCTCCTGCCGGTGACCCCTCTAGTGATATAAAGATCTATATAGAGGAATCAGGATCTCCTGCCGGTGACCCCTCTAGTGATATAAAGATCTATATAGAGGAATCAGGACCTCCTTCCTCCTGCCGGTGACCCCTCTAGTGATATAAAGATCTATATAGAGGAATCAGGACCTCCTTCCTCCTGCCGGTGACCCCTCTAGTGATAGATCTATATAGAGGAATCAGGACCTCCTTCCTCCTGCCGGTGACCCCTCTAGTGATAAAATCTATATAGAGGAATCAGGACCTCCTTCCTCCTGCTGGGGACCCCTCTAGTGATATAAAGGTGTATATAGAGGAATTGTCCCCATGTTGGGAGAGGAGGTGACCCATCTATGAGGACATACAGTCTATACACACCCAGCATAAGGCCACTAGGTCACACTATGAGATGTTTCTTGGGGCTGCAGTTCCTCTGAGCTCAACAAGGTGGTGATCCCACGTCTACCCAGACAGGAAGTGATGTCAGGTATAAATAGGAATTTCCGGGTGAGAGATGAGTTGGGAGGAAGTAGAGAGGAGACATTACTTTAAGTGGCAGCAGAAGAGGTAATAAGATCATGTTTTTTATTTACACCCAGTAACCCCCCCCATCATGTCCGTCCTCCTCCTCAGTCATTGTGTCTGTCCTCCTCCTGCATTGTCACGTCCGTCCTCTTCCTCCACCGTCACACCCGTCCTCTTCCTCCATCGTCATGTTCATCCTTTTCTTCCACCGTCATGTCCGTCCTCTTCATTGTCACATCCGTCCTCTTCCTCCATAGTCACGCCTGTCCTCTTCTTCCATCGTCACGCCTGTCCTCTTCTTCCATCGTCATGTCCATCCTCTTCCTCCGTAGTCACTTGACGTCTTTTATCTCCAGCAGATGATGATACACACATATATAGTGTGGGAACCCAGATTAACCCCTTCAGGGGCAGAACATTCTCCTCATTGTGGAGATGTCACCTTTCCCACCAATCACCTTCTCACCTCCTCAGTCTATACTGACCCATTATATAGGGGAACGCTTAAGATGAAGGATCCCATTATTCTCAGTAGGCCCATACACACCTGGTCTTCACGTCGCCAGTCACGTAAAGCTTGAAAAAGTCCATGAGCTTCTTTGGGGCAGAGTTGTGTCTTTGGACCCAAAGCTTTAATGGAAGAAGGTGTTTCCAACACGAGTGTACGAAGCCTACAAAGAGCGATTCTGCTGATGTAGGACAGGTCATGCTTACATACGTGCAGAACAAAAGCCTCTGGACCACTTGGCTTTGCACACACTGGATATGAATGGGAATCTATACACATGCCTAAACCTCAGCACAACAGATCACTTTATGTTTACATATAACACTCGCTCACCCTTGAAGGAGCAGCTGATGGTTAGGTTCTATCATCCTTTTCTCTCCTACAATGACCAAACCAAACTCGCCCAAAACCCACCAGCACACCTTGTGGAGAGGACATCTGATCCAACCATTCTCAATGTTTCTGAATCAACCAGATTCTCTCATACTAAAAAAGGAACTTACCCCCAGCCAACTGATTCCAAGGCAGGGTCCCTTCCTACTCCCTGGCCAGTGTTGGGGCCAATGTTGGTAAGCGTTGTGACGCTCACATATATTGGTATGACTAAGAGCTCAAAACAAAACTGATTTTCTGATCCATCAATCCAAAAGGTTAGGAGTTTCTGGACCCCAAAACCATAGCAAACCCTCAACTGAATGTTCCTCTGTGTGTAATCCTAGAGGGGACCGTTCTTCCATTATAGAGACCCTCATATTATCCCCCTCCCCCCCCCCCCCCCCCCCCATCCTATTATTGTACAACCAGTACAGTCCGGATCATTCTCTGTTATCAATTATTGGTCTACAGGGAACCTGTATAGATCACATGACCAATGAGGATGGAGGAGGACCGTCACATGACTAAGAGGATACTTAACCTCACTCTGGAGATCATCTACCTGCTGACTGGAGAGGTGAGGAGGATTCTGGGAGGTCACATGACATCACTATTAAATCTATTAATAAAACACAGACCTGACCGGAGAGGTGAGGAGGATTCTGGGAGGTCACATGACATCACTCTCATCTCTATTAATAATACACAGACCTGACCGGGAGAGGTGAGGAGGATTCTGGGAGGTCACATGACATCATTCTCATCTCTATTAATAAAACACAGACCTGACCGGAGAGGTGAGGAGGATTCTGGGAGGTCACATGACATCACTCTGGTCTAGTCTGGCCAATAGACCATGTTCTTGTAGACATGTAGATGATGTCAGATGATTGATATTGGTTTCTCTTTCTCCTGATCTGTAGGATTATGTTGTAGTGAAGAAGTCTAGTGGGGAGCCAATCTCAGGAGGATGGAGCAGGACCCAGAGCCCCACCATGGTGCCTCCCCCTCGTTCTCCCATACCTGAGAGGAACAAAGAGCAGAAGATCCTGGAACTGACCACCATGATGGTCCATCTGCTGACAGGAGAGGTGAGCGGTGCCGGGAATTCTGGGACATTCTCCAGTAACAGACAAGGGATGTGTCTGGATGGTGACTGTATCATTGTGTGCGTCAGGTTCCTATAAGGTGTCAGGGTGTCACTGTCTATTTCTCCATGGAGGAGTGGGAGTATTTAGAAGGACACAAGGACCTCTACAAGGACGTCATGATGGACAATCAGCTGCCCCTCACATCACCCGGTAAGAGGAGACTTTATTGGAAAGGAGAGAGCAGTACGGAGGCTCCACCTAGATCCCCCATCATCTGATAAACACATAGAAACAATGGATTCAGTCAGTGTGTGTGTTTCCTACAGATGGATCAAGTCATGGGAACCCACCAGAGAGATGTCCCCGTCCTCTGTATTCCCGGGATTCCACACAGGAAGGTCACACCATCCCTCACTATTACAAGGTTGGTGGGATGGAGAATCTAGAACATGGACTCATGGAGACGATGTGCGGATTTTCTATGTGATGTTACAATAATAAATCTTCTATCTTACAGATGATATTTTCTCTCCTTCTCTTGATGTAGAGTGGAGATCCAATCGATATAGAATTTGAGGTGAAATCAGAAGAAGAGGCGTATGTGAGGGATGATCAGCAGTCTATGGAGGAGGATGGAATAACGGGGACATTTATAGAGGAGGACACTCCTACAGAGATCAGCACAGGTGGGTCAGGAACACTAAATCCATTCCTCCACCCATACTGCTCACTGATTGGTCCAGATGATAAAGTTCTCATTGGATCTATCTCTGTCTTTCTGGTTTGGGGGATCCAATCAGCTCCTGTCTAGTAATCCTCTTTGTCTTTGTATTTTAGTCCATGGCCGGGAGATGAGGAAAACCTCAGAGGATTGTCTCACTTTGTCTCCAGACTGGAAAGTAGAAGATGAGGACATCACACAATATAGTCCAGGAGAAAACCCGGCTCCCCTCCATTGTCCATCCGGCACCACCCAGTGTAGATGGACCATCGGATTCCTCGTATCCTGAGGAACCTCAGACTGTGCAGGACCGGGTCGTCCTTCCAATAGACAAGAGGTTCTCCTGTACTGTGTGTGGGAAATGTTTCATCAGAAAATTAAATTTAGATAAGCATCAAAAATCTCATGGGGACGAGAAGCAATATTCCTGTCCCGAGTGCGGGAAATGTCATCCACAGAAATCAGCTCTTGTCAGACATCTAAGATCTCACACGGGGGAGAAGCCGTATTCCTGCTTGGAGTGCGGGAAATGTTTTCTGCAGCAGTTTCAACTTATCAGACATGAAGTAATTCACACGGGCAAGATGCCATTTTCCTGTCCTGAGTGTGGACAGTATTACCCTTTGAAATCAGAACTTGTGAGACATATGAGGACTCACACGGGAGAGAAGCCGTTCTCCTGCCCCGAGTGCGGGAAATGTTATGCAATGAAATCGACGCTCGTCAGGCACCTGAGGACTCACACAGGGGAGAAGCCATATTCCTGTCCTGAGTGCGGGAAGTGTTTTGCACAACAGTCCTATGTTTCTGTACATCGGAGATGCCACACAGGAGAGAAGCCGTATTCCTGCCCAGAGTGCGGGAAATGCTATTCTCGGAAATCAGAACTTGTCACGCATCAGAGATCTCACACAGGGGAAAAGCCGTATTCCTGCCCTGAGTGCGGGAAATGTTTTTTAAGGAAATCAGAACTAGCTAAACATAAGATATGCCACACGGGGGAGAAGCTGTACAGCTGCCCCGAGTGTGGGAAATGTTTTTCACAAAAGTGCTATGTTGCTATACATCAGATATGCCACACAGGTGAGAAGCCGCATTCTTGCCCTGAGTGCGGGAAATGTTTTGCTCGTAAATCAGAACTCACTAAACATCAGACAAATCACATGGTGGAGAAGCCGTATCCCTGTCCTGAGTGCGGGAAATGTTTTTCACAAAAGTACTATCTTTCTATACATCAGATATACCACACAGGGGAGATGCCATATTCCTGTCCCGAGTGCGGGAAAAGTTTTGCACGTAAATCAGATCTCAATAAACATCAAAGGTGTCACACGGGGGAGAAGCCGTATTCCTGTCCCGAGTGCGGGAAATGTTTTACAGAAAAGTCCTCTCTTTCCAAGCATCAGAAATCTCACAAAATCCTTGGGTCATGTTAGTATCCTGAGTGGGGGAAATGTTTTCTGCATCAGAAATCTCACACATCCATCAAGTCATGTTAGTGTCCTAAGTGCGGGAAATGTTTTCTGCATCAGAAACCTCCCACAGTCCTTGAGACAGGTTAGTGTCCCAAGTGTTGGAAATGTTATCTACATCGGAAGGAAGCAAACCTTGACATACGCCTCAGGAAACACTCTTCTGATCTTCATAATGTAAGACAAATCAGAGCTCCTCGCTGATGCAGTCGGTGTGCCTTCAGGGCCGCTCACCCGCACACCTACCACATTTGAACGGACAACCATGTCCATGCAGCCCCATACATTCAAGCTACATGGATAGATGGACCATTCATGGTCAATGAGCCTCGGCCTCCATGTGATCTCGGCCTCCATGAGTCTACCTTGAGACTATAGAAGCAACCCAGCGTAGGATCTTCTGGGGTGAGTGGCTGTACTCGGTCTCCTTGCAAGACGCCAAAGTCCTCCCTGGCTTCCTCTACTAAGAGGGGTTTGTGTGCCACTTCTGGTTGGGTCCCTCTAGCAGTGGAGTCTGATCTCCCCTGACCTTCAGCAGAAGCTTCCATGGAGGACATTATGTGAGAGAGAAGGAGGGGGGGGGTCACTGCTGATTGGGTCCCCCTAGGAGTGTAGTCTGATCTCCCCTGACCTTCAGCAGAAGCTTCCATGGAGGACATCATGGTGAGAGAGGAGGGGGGGTCACTGCTGGTTGGGTCCCTCTAGCTGTGTAGTCTGATCTTCTCTGACCTTCAGCAGAAGCTTCCATGGAGGACATCATGGTGAGAGAGAAGGAGGGTGGTCACTGCTGGTTGGGTCCCTCTAGCAGTGTAGTCTGATCTCCCCTGACCTTCAGCAAAAGCTTCCATGGAGGACATAATGGTGAGAAAGGAGGGGGGGGGGGTCACTGCTGGTTGGGTCCTTCTAGCTGTGTAGTCTGATCTCCCCTGACCTTCAGCAGAAGCTTCCATGGAGGACATCATGGTGAGAGAGAAGGAGGGGGGGGGGGTCACTGCTGGTTGGGTCCCTCTAGCTGTGTAGTCTGATCTCCCCTGACCTTCAGCACAAACTTCCATGGAGGACATCATGGTGAGAGAGAAGGAGGGGGGGTCACTGCTGGTTGGGTCCCTCTAGCAGTGTAGTCTGATCTCCCCTGACCTTCAGCAGAAGCTTCCATGGAGGACATAATGGTGAGAGAGAAGGAGAGTGGTCACTGCTGGTTGGGTCCCTTTAGCAGTAGAGTCTGATCTTCCCTGACCTTCAGCAGAAGCTTCCATAGAGGACATCATGGTGAGAGAGAAGGAGGGTGGTCACTGCTGGTTGGGTCCCTCTAGCAGTGTAGTCTGATCTCCCCTGACCTTCAGCAAAAGCTTCCATGGAGGACATAATGGTGAGAGAGAAGGAGGGGGGGGGGGTCACTGCTGGTTGGGTCCTTCTAGCTGTGTAGTCTGATCTCCCCTGACCTTCAGCAGAAGCTTCCATGGAGGACATCATGGTGAGAAAGAAGGAGAGGGGGGGGGGGGGGTCACTGCTGCTTGGGTCCCTCTAGCAGTGTAGTCTGATCTCCCCTGACCTTCAGCAGAAGCTTCCATGGAGGACATCATGGTGAGAGAGGAGGGGGGGTCACTGCTGGTTGGGTCCCTCTAGCAGTAGAATCTGATGTTCCCTGACCTTCAGCAGAAGCTTCCATAGAGGACATCATGGTGAGAGAGAAGGAGGGTGGTCACTGCTGGATGGGTCCCTCTAGCAGTGTAGTCTGATCTCCCCTGACCTTCAGCAGAAGCTTCCATGGAGGACATCATGGTGAAAGAAAAGGAGGGGGGGGGGGTCACTGCTGGATGGGTCCCTCTAGCAGTGTAGTCTGATTTCCCCTGACCTTCAGCAGAAGCTGGAGGGGGGGGGGGGGTAACTGCTGGTTGGGTCCCTCTAGCAGTGTAGTCTGATCTCCCCTGACCTTCAGCAGAAGCTTCCATGGAAGACATCGTGAGAGAGAAGGTGGGGGGGGGGTCACTGCTGGTTGGGTACCTCTAGCAGTGTAGTCTGATCTCCCCTGACCTTCAGCAGAAGCTTCCATGGAGGACATCATGGTGAAAGAGAATGGGGGGGGGGGTCACTGCTGGCTTGGTCCCTCTAGCAGTGTAGTCTGATCTCCCCTGACCTTCAGCAGAAGCTTCCATGGAGGACATCATGGTGAGAGAGAAGGAGGGGGGGGGGTCCCCTGCCGGTTGGGTCCCTCTAGCAGTGTAGTCTGATCTCCCCTGACCTTCAGAAAAAGCTTCCATGGAGGACATCATGGTGAGAGAGAAGGAGAGTGGTCACTGCTGGTTGGGTCCCTCTAGCAGTGCAGTCTGATCTTCCCTGACCTTCAGCAGAAGCTTCCATGGAGGACATCATGGTGAGAGAGAAGGAGGGTGGTCACTGCTGGTTGGGTACCTCTAGCAGTGGAGTCTGTTCTCCCCTGACCTTCAGCAGAAGCTTCCATGAAGGACATCATGGTCAGAGAGAAGGAGGGGGGGGGGGGGGTCACTGCTGGTTGGGTCCCTCCTAGCAGTGTAGTCTGATCTCCCCTGACCTTCAGCAGAAGCTTCCATGGAGGACATCATGGTGAAAGAAAAGGAGGGGGGGTCACTGCTGGTTGGGTCCCTCTAGTAGTGTAGTCTGATCTCCCCTGACCTTCAGCAGAAGCTTTCATGAAAGACATCATGGTGAGAGAGAAGGGGGGGGGGTGGTCACTGCTGGTTGGGTCCCTCTAGCAGTGTAATCTGATCTCCCTGACCTTCAGCAGAAGTTTCCATGGAGGACATCATAGTAGGAGAGATGCTAGAGGATGAAGAGCAGGAGGGATCGGTCTAAAGGAAGACTCGTGCGATAGTAGTTCTCTGAGCCTGCATTTTGCCCAAAGAGTGCCACCCACTGGCCGACAATGGTAAATATGACATTTTCAGATGTTGGATAAAACACCTAAATTATAAACAACTCTACAGTTATAAGGAAGCCGTGTAAAGGGCCAATTACAGAACAGGAAGGCTGCAACGCTGAGCTGTGCGGATTAAAGTGAATAACTAGACAGACAAGGTTCTTGGTGAATTGATGAGCATCTGCCTTCAGCTTTGGATTAATAAATACCTTGTTTTTGTTGTGTGAATCATTCGTTCTTTATTTCTTCGTTCTTTATAGAGAAAGGTAAATGTTAGTACTCTGACATCTCGGGGTGGGAATGGGGTAAAGCAGTTTTTTGGGGAATGTATGTGTTTTGATAAATGAGATATGGCTGATCTATGTATCGCAATAAAATTTAATAAAAGATAGAATATAAAAAAAAAAAATTACTCTGACATGTGCATCGCACCTAGGGGCGTACTGACCATTTGGGAACTCGGGCACTGCCCAAGGGCCCGGGGTCAATAGGGGGCCCCATGAGATGCCCCGGTACCTTTCATAGGCTTTTTTGGGTGTGGTTTGAGTGTGGGCGAGGACACAGGGGCCCCATGATCCCCTATTGCCCCGGGGGCCCCATGAGTTGTCAGTCCACCTTTAAGCGGAACTCCGGGTAGATATAAACGACTCCAATAAATGCAGCTCTGTGATCCTTAACCCCTCCAGAGGATTACCCCTCCCCCCTCCTGAGGATTCCCCCTTTTGACCAGGCCATGTTTTGCAAGACGGCGCTGCGTTTTACATTAACTGACAATTGTGCGGTCATGCAACGACGCCCCTAAATTACATTTATGTCCTTTTTTTCCCCATTGAGCTTTCTTTAGGTGGTATTTGATCCCCTGTGCGTTTTTTATTTGTTGCGCTATAAAAAAAAAAAATGACAATTTTGAAAAAAATTAATATTTTGGACTTTTTGCTTTTAAACACATCCAGTAAAAAAAATTTAAAAATCAAATTTCGTCATAAATTTCAGCCAAAATGTATTCTGCTCCGTTTCTTTGCTAAAAAAATCCTGATACGTGGAAATTTATTGGTTTACGTGAAAGTTTATAGCGTTTACAAATGGCGGGATAGATACTGGGATTTTTTTTTTGCATTATTATTATTTGAAGGATCTTTGGCAACCCACTTTTGGAGTCACGGCTTTGTTCAGGGTGTCAGATACATGGTCTCAATGTAATGTGGCATTAATCTGTGCCTGCCACTGTACACCATCAAGGACCAGCTCTTGGCCCTGGCAATATTATTTCAAGGATCCTAGGCCACCCACTGTTTGGGTTACAAGTTTCTTCAGGGCATCAGTTACACAGCCCCAATTAATAGGCCTTCTATGGCTCTGGTTCCTAATCTCGTGCTATCAGCATTTCAGTATCTGTCCTTCAAACCACCAACCTGCCACCGGACACCATCAAGGATCCTTGGCAACCCATGTTTTGAGTGACGGTTTGTTCAGGGCATCAGATATATTGTCTCAATGTAATGTGGCATTGATCAGTACTTGCCATTGGACACCATCAAGGGCCAGCTCTTGGCCCCCCGATATTATTTCAAGGATCCTTGGCCACCCACTCTTTGGGTCACAAGTTTCTTTAGGGCATCAGTTACACAGCCCCACTTAATAGGCCTTCTATGGCTCTGGTTCCTAATCTGGTGCTATCAG